TATCAGATGATGCCATTAGATTGTGACAGCTATATTCAACTACATGCAGGCCCAATCGACGAGCAATGTATCTAACAACTGTTCTCTTACCACATCCTGCAGCGAGCATTGAATCAGTACTCAATAACACTACACACTTGGGCACATGAAAAATACATCTTAACGAGAACAGACAGGTTTTTGGTCAACATCTTTGTTACTAACTGGTAATAGGTTCAAAGATTATTGCATACGGTTGCAGATGAGTGATCTTGTTAGAGACCATTCCAATTTAAACATCGAAGCCACCATGAAAAGCAAACTACAAAAGAAAAAATCAAACTCACCTGCCAATCCGTACAGGAGAACTGAAACTCTGAATTTTGAAGATAGTGCTGATGGGCAGAGAGGCGGTGCAAGTATGGAGGCCAATATTTTTACGGTGTCCCCTTGCAAAGGTGCAAAACCTTGTTTTCCAGCAATCAATAAGTCTGGGGGTACAGCAGAAGAGACACTCCCTCCAAGCACAAGGGCTGTTTGAGAGCGATTAACTCGGAGAATGGAATCGTCTGAAGGTTCCATGGCCACAACCTAAGAATATTAATTTACGCTGTGATCAGACTTGGTACTATATGTTGAGTATAAAAGCAACCAAAGAACAATAATAAGATTCTTTTTTTGATAGGAAGAACAATACAGGGAAATTACCTTGAAATAGATGTTATCACTTCCATCTTGTGAACTTTGGTTGCAAGGAATGCACATCATTGACTTGCAACTCCAATTGATACAAATACTGAAAATATCACCTCTTGCTAGATACCTATCAACTCCAAAGTAGTTATGTAGTGCCAAATCTATCATTTCTTGACGATCTTCATATTCAACGGACGAATTTCCTTTAAGAGAGTCAAGTGTACCACATTCCGGTATCTTCACGAAAGAAGCTCTCAAATGGGAAGCATATCTTGGCAACTGAGGCTGAGGCTCCAACTGCAATCCAACTACAGAAGCCTCAAGGCCTTTCCCGCTCACCTCATCATCCACTTTCTCTCCAAAATAAGATGCCAAAAGCTCTTCCCCTCTATGAACGAGTGATTTGAAGCACAATGTGTGCAAGTCAAGGTTATATGCTAATAGAGGTGATATATACGCAACTTCGCGCTTCAACGACATTCGATCATTTCCGGGGAAAGTACAACAAGGCAAAATAAGCATTGCGTGAGAAAATTCAGACAAGGATTGTTCAATCTTCGTGGCGCAATCATGGCTGTTCGGAGGATCAAGGACAATGGCCTGAGCGGTTCTTTGTACGTTTGTCTCCACATTCATCACAGTCACCTTGTGTATTCGAAATCCAGCCGAACCAGAAAATAACATAGAATACTGGTATCAATTACTAGCTGAACAGAAAATTCTAGTGTAATCTTAAACCCGAAAAATCTAACTAATGAATTTCAATTCTTTCCCAAAATCAAAAATCGATAATTTTAGTTTTAACTGCGAATTTAATTGGATTCAACATTCTTTAAAATCACATTATGTATTCAAAATCAACAAAATTCTACCATAATTCATTCCGGAAATCGAAATTTCGATAACTTGAGTCTTTAGCTGGGAAATTCATCTACGATTCAAGTGTTAATTCTTGTACTTTGATCAATTTTCCCGGCAACCAAACAGAAAGCAGGAAAATTTATATGAATCAACATTGGAACAAGTACCAGAGAGCCGGAGGTGATGGAGAGCCGTTTGAGGGCAGAAGTGAGCAGCCCGACCAAAGCAGAGTCGTCGAGAGAAGCCAATTTGGGGCTGCTTGAAAGGACCGTTCTGTCCTTAGACAGCCGGAGAATCCCCGGCGGCAACTGCAAGCTCGTAGACTCGTCGCCATCGCCGCCGCCGTCGACTGGGCGGTCTTCACTCAGTACGGAATTGACGAGACTTTTGGTGGAAGTAAGCACCAGTGGCTTCCTCCTCCTCCTCTCCACCATTGAAATGGAAACCTATAGATACACACATAGATACATTCCAGCTGCAGATTGTATATATAATTATAGATACTGAAATAGCACGAATCGATGAAGCTCTGCGGGCTGCTTGAAGTACTAGTTATTTCTTCTTTCAAGAAGCTTTTTTTTAAGGATTTAATAAATTCGGATGTTTTTTTAAAATAACTGAAAGTGTTTTTTATTAAAATACTTTTAAATACTATCATAGTAAAAATGTTAATAAATCATTGGAAAAATATTTAAAATGATTCCTAAGAGAAGCACGTAATTGGTGCTTCTTGTAGAAAACATTTAAAGTGCTTCTGGAACTTAAAAATATTTTCTCTAAAAATGTTTTCAGTCATTTTAAAAGCACTTCCAAACAAGCCTAATAATTTTGGTAAGGATGGTTTTTAAAAATATTTTCATCAAAAACGATTTCAATTATTTTAAAAACATATCCAAACAAGCTGTAGTAGTCCAACCGTTTGGACGGGAGTTGTTTGGGCTGGAACTTGAATGGGCTTTTGTTGCTAATTGGGCATGCACCAAAGACTACTAGTAAACCTTTTGGACCGTCCGATGCAAATTTTCGAAGCTTGATTTCATTGTACGTTTTAGTCTGAATAAGAGCCGTTATATTCTATTAAGTTAAGTGATCTAACGGTTCTTATTTAGATGTTCAACCTAAATGGGCACTAGAGAAAGCCTCTTAAGCAAATTGGTCGGAGCAGATGCCGATTTGCTTTGCAAAGAATGTGACCATATGCCGTGACCAAATGGCATGATAACGTATACGAAGGTTATGGCTATCAGGCTCTCGATGCGGCATAATAAGATGCGAAAGTTATGGCTTACTGTGCCGTCGATGACCGGAGTTCAGGTTCCTTGGCTTATCAGAGCATGGGGGGCTCATGCTCCTCTTTCCCCTAGTTCAACTGACCTCCATCATTTTAGTTTGGAAGATGAGAAGTACAAAGCAAATAATCAATTAGAATGATAAAAAAAACATATTAGATGGAGATGCGGGTATCGATTCCCATCCTAACACATGCTAAATGTGTAAGCTAAAAGCTAAAAGTCAAATTCCCCCTAGGATTTAGCCCAATAATTGGTGTGGGCACCACCAGCGGACCCTCACCCACATGGGCATGTCTTTCAAGATTTATTGAATTTAACGGCTGAGATCGAATATAATCAAATCTAAAGGTAAAAAAAAAATCTAACGGCTCAATTGTAAACCCAACAGCAAAAATAATTAAAAAAATTATTTAACTCAAAATTCACCCAAATTTAGTGATTTTTTAATATTTATCGGAATTTAAATATTTTTAGGCTAAAATGTTCATAAAATTAAATTATGATAGTGTACATAATTCTTTTTTTTTAATTACTTTAAAAGATTCTAAATTTATTTTTTAATAATTTCAGGCTAAAAAATTTAGGCCAGAAGGTTGGGGCAAAAAAACTATTTCTGAGCTAAAATTTAAATTTTCTAGGCTAAAAATTTTAGGTTTTAACCCAATAATTGGATATAGTCTAAGCGAGCGCTCTACCATCTGAGCTACATTCCCAAATCTGCTTCAAAAGCTCAGAGTCAAAGAAATTAACAAAAATGAAAATCCCATTGTCTTTGTTCCTTTTTCTAGGCAGACACACCAATACACCAATATATAAAGCCGTCCATTGGCCTTGTACAACAAAATGGAATTGCTCTAGAACTTAAGCTTCTTCAATGGAGGTTTTATCCAAGCCGGATTCCGGTCCATCTCGATCGGGCTTACAAAATATTGATCGGAGGAATGTGTGCGTTTGATACGATCTTGTTCGATGTATTCATTGGACTGTAGAACTCATTACGAGAGTAATAGAATATTTTACGACTTTTCTTCTCGTTATAAGAAAATAAGTCCTAGATCGCCGAAGCATACACAAATTGCATATATAAAATTTAAACGGTTAGAGTTAGTTTGCCCAGCCTGGTAATGTGGGCTTGTGACCTAACGTGGGGGCATTAAGGTGGAATTTGAAACGGCTTTTGAGTCAGACAACCTGTGGCTCGTGCTTGGTGGCTAGAGATGGTTAAGTCTGGGTTTAGTAGGAGTTTTTCAGGGTGCCTGAAAAACGGTCGGGACATCAAGTGTCATAATATAATTGGTTGGAAACTTTCATTCAATAGACCCTTTCCACCTTAATAAAAGATGAGTCTATGAGAACCTCACTTGGCTCATCAGAGCAAACGAATGAGGAACTTGCTCATTTGTATCGTATGATTCACCAATCTTAATTAAGTATTTAACGCACAATCCATAAAAGTCGAATCTTGAGACTCCTACAAACAAATGGAAACAAATATCACTATACCACAATTCAAGTGCCGATACTCAATTTATCTATCAAATAAACGAATTGGTTTAGTACGGGTTTGGTACTGAGGTACTTTTATAAAAAATGGGTATAAAAAAAACTGAGCTAAAAAAGGTGTTTAGTAAACACTTAAAAACAGTTTACTTTCACAGTTTTTGGTGAAAAAAAACTGAAAACGTGAAGTAGCAAAAATGAGCTTATTCTTACATCACATAGAAGCCGTCTTTTTTTTTCTTCAAAACACAGTAATACCAAACCAGCCCTTAGTGGGTTAAATTTAACTAAATAACACAATTTCAAAATTTTCATAACAACATGAAACAAAATGATTTTTTATTTTTTATATTAAAAAAAAAACAACTGATGGCAAGTCACGGTTATCCACTTATTCCAAGGACCGAAATACTCATATAAGCATTTCAACCTCCTTGGCCACAAGTTTGACTTCCACACCAGCAACGAGTTTCGAACTCGAGACCTCCAATTTTTGGTTTTAAGAAAGTCTCGTAATTTGTCCTTTACCACAGAACCACCGGTTCTGGTTACGAAACACAATGATTAAATTGACGAAATTTAAAACACAAAGATCAAAATTGAAATTGAACAAAATTCGCCAAAATTAATCTCCCTTTTCTTCATTCCTCACTGAATCATACGATACAAATTTCAATTAATCAATACATCTTGGAAATCCACTTTTCCTTGGTACACAAGCAACAATTGAGGAACTGGCACTTCATGTCTACTCACAAACCTCTCCAAGAACTGCTTCTCCGCCGGATAAACCACACTCGACAACCTCAAATTCTCTTTTTCCAACCCCTTCGCCACCAGCACTTTGAAAACCGAACACCGCGGCACGATCCTCCTCTCCAAGCTCAAGCACATAACCGTCGCGCATTTTGCAATGGCGGCCGAGGACCACCCCATCTTGTTCACCAAGAAATCAATCGTATCCGTTATCTTCTTCTCCGATTTCGTCATGCACAAGGGATTGGACCTGAAAGCAGAGAGGATCTCATCCTCCGACCAACCACATTTCCTGTAAGCCTCTTGGTTTCGTTTCAAGATCGATTTTTTACCCGACATCACCCGCATTGCCGACACAAAGTTTGATTTCGCGGGCTCGAATCCGAATTCTTTCACCTCATTCACAATCTCACTGAACAATTCATGCTTTTTCATCAAAATGTTGGGATACTGCGCAAGCAGCAGAGCTATGGAGGATTCCGGCAACCCCAAATCTCGCAGAATACCGATATTCGGCATCACATTTTTCGACAGATTATCGAGGAAGATCCACGGCTTGTGCTTCAGAATACTAATCACTCTCTCATCAGAAATCAAAAGGGCTTTGAGGAAATTGTAAGACGGGATAATCTGATTTTTCAAACTTATTTTCAAAAGGGAAGGATCGTAACTCACAGTTCTGGCGAGATCGAACCTCGAAATCCCTTTGGAGGTGAAGAACTCGAGCTTGGGCAAAAGGGTCTTTTCGGCGTCGGCGGCGAGGATCAAAGGGTGGCGTCTCACGAGCTTTGAGATGTCGGCGGCGGAGAACTCGTGCGTTCTCAGGAGCTCCAGAACAGAGTCCGCTCTGTCGGAAGACCGGAGCTTTAGCTTCTGGGAAGCTTCCGCGGCGGATTCCGGCGACAACCCACATGAGTTTATGAGGTATGCGACGGTGGGAGCATCGTGATCGGCGGAGATTGTGTTGGCGATTGATCTGCGGAAGGATAGATTTTGTACTGCAAATCTTGGGACGGCGGCGATTTTGGTGAGACAGTTGAAGGGTGTCATTGGTTTGGATTTGATTTGGACGGACAGATTCTGTTTTTTGGGTTTTGGTTTCTGTCATATGGGCTGGGTAAAACCGAACCGGCGGGACCCAGACCCGATCAAACCCACCAGACCCGAACCTCAGATTTTGTAACTAAGATCTTTGCATAAAATTTAAATCAACCACACTGGATATAGCTTTTTAAATTCTTATATGCTTTGTTGTAGGTCAAAGATTTTCAAACAATTGGAAGTCTTGCGAGATGACACATCTAAGGCCATCTCCAACCAACTCGGCCAAAGGATCATAGAGCTAAAAATAATCCGTCTTGACACGAAATCCATCACTAACTAAGGGTTAGGTTAAATGGCTCGTGGTCCTCACCCAGCAAAAAATGGGAGAACTGACCAAAGGGCTGGCGAAGAGCAGCCAGCCCTCCAGTGCCAGTCAAGCTTGACATTTTACAAACCCTCTAGCACCAAAATGTCTAGCTTGACATTTTGTCAGCCCTTCAGTTTAGACCATTTGAATGTCAAACTTCCTGCAAGAAGCACCAATTATATACTTCTTGCAAGAAGCATTTTTAAGTGCTTTTTAGAATCTAAAAACATTTTTATTAAAAACGCTTTCAGATATTGTAAAAGCACTCACAAACGAGCCGTTTTAAAAGCACTTTCAAACGCATGGTTCAATTGGTTTTTGGACTAATACAATTGGACACGACTATGTGCACGCTTATTTGCAATTGAGTTCGATAAAGCAATTTGCCCGCCTATTTGCACCTAAGTTCGATAGGGTCGTGTGTCCACTTAGTTACACTTCAGTTTGACAAAGCAGCGTGCCCACTTATTTTCACCCGAATTCGATAGGACAATGTTTCCACCTACTTGTACTTGAGTTCGATAAGGTAGTGTGCATGCCTCTTTGCGCACCCAAGTTCGATAAAGCAGTTTCCGACGTACTTGCATCCGAGTTCAAAAGGACAATGTACCCACCTATTCGCTACACGATTCTCTCATCTTTACATATATAAAATGGAGTACAAAAATTACATAACTCAAGCTATTTAACCTGTCAACAACAAATTCAACGAAAAATTCATGTGCCTGTGATTGCGTCTCTACATACAACATACGAAAAGATTGCCCCGTTTTTGAACAATTTTTTTCCAGCAAAGGCTTCCTAACTCTCTGATCCGACTCTGTCAATCTTCGAACAAGATTGCCGCAAAACAAGCTAGGAATTAGCCAGCGGGCGCTCCTACAGATTCAGCGAGTTCTTCCAGAAGTTCTTGCTGTTCTAAGGAAACACAAGCCTGCAAGAAGGGTAGGAATATCAGTTGCACCGCAATCATATTGGTGAATCCTTTTTGACAAATACTGTATAGCCATAATATTTATTAAAAGAAAAGGAGGACATGTCTTTAAAGAGCTTCACTGTGGAAAAATACCTGAATTGCGTTATCTATATCGCCACCAAGAAAAGAGGTGAGCTCATAGTTTGTCTTTAACCGATGGTCGGTCACTCTATTGTCCTGATATTCAATAAACAAAAGAAGTGAACTTCCTGAAACATAACCAATCTTATGCAAGAAATCTCACAGACAAAATTGTTGAACACAAGTCTCGCGTTGGTTACTGGTTAGCATAAGTTATTTTAGCTTTATAGACCTATCGGGACCTCTGCACCTAATAGCTATAGCTTTTGAACTGGATAGTTCAGTAAATCACTCATTATCAATACCTTAAAGTTGTATGTCCGAATCTTTTCTGCACGAGAACCAGTACCAACCTGCATTTTCAGAATACAAACATCACACGGTTTAGTCCTGTGCCTAAAACCATAATCTAGCGCTCCCATTGCATACCCTAATATCAAAGAACAGCATATATGTGATGGCAAGGGTTTACAACAGAGATGTTGCAGTCTTATGTGCCTCGTAACTATACTCTAAGCTAAAAGATACCTGCGATTTCCGCTGATTCCTAATCAACTCCTGCTGCTCTCTCAATTTTATCTTATACCTGTACCAGTGCCATTGATCATTATGGACCAAAGAAAAAGTGTGGAAACAAGAGGTATTATGTGTTAATGGCGTTGACTGCACTCCATGCATATGTCAAGCTATGACGAAAATATTATGCAAAATCCAAAATGTTTCATAAAAGGGAACAGTTAATGTGCCTAACAAATAAAGAATATGAGGACATTTAAAACACAGAAATCAGTACTCACAATTTCGCTCGCAGCAACTGAAATGCACGATGCTTGTTCTGAAGTTGAGACCTTTCTTCGCTACAAAAGATGCGGATGCCCGTTGGTTTATGGACGAGATCAACAGCTGTCTCCACCTTGTTGACATTTTGCCCTGCATAATAATCAGACATGAGGCTTAACTCACATAGGTAATCCTGTTCTGAAGAGTGAGACGCAAAATCAAGTTAATTAAGAAAATAATACTCTTTGCATATCAATACCTCCAGCTCCCCCAGACCTTGCTGTTGTCAGTTCAATATCTTTTGGGTCGATAACCACCTCAACTTCATCCGCCTATAGTAAGGCACAGAACAAGCACAATAAGTCAATGAATCAGAAATGTTTGATCATAAAGAGTACATGAAAGATTACAGTGACAAGTAAAATAAAAGCTACCTCTGGCATGATCGCAACAGTCGCAGTGGAAGTATGCACGCGACCCTGTGTTTCTGTATGAGGAACACGTTGAACCCGATGAACACCAGATTCATATTTTAATTTGCTGTATACACGTTTTCCTTTGACTTCCATCACATAGGCCTTGTATCCTCCTCTTTCAGCCTAAAATAATGCAAGAGCTCTGTCAGTATGTCAACCGAAACAGGATATACCTCTAAAAATGTCAGTGAAACATACCTCTGAGCTTGAGACTGTGCTGAACCTCCAATTATTCCTCTCACAGTACTTCTCATACATACGAACCTTGGTACAAAGAAAAACAGAAAAGGAAAAGAAAATGTAGAAGCATTAAGATATGCTTGGAAGCAACTTGCGAAGAAGGAATTCATAGAATAATCATTTTTTCCAATGAGGCCTATCATTGAAATAAAACATAAAGAAGAAGAAAGAGTGCACGGGCACATCAATAACAGAGACTTTTGATGTGCCCGTGCAAATAAAAAGTAATGTCAACATATCCTATAGAATTTAAATGACAAAAGAAACATATACCTACAAGATCACCTGCCCAGATTCCAGCTTCATCACCACCAGTACCAGCCCTTACTGCAGAAAAAAAAAAGAATACGTATGTATGAGGGACAGTTTCAGTCAAATCTGGTTCAGATATATGATGTTCCATCATCTCTTCCTAAAAACGAGGCTTGAGAGAGCATTTTACATTGCTAAACATCTATATGTGGTTCTCAAGCAATCTAATAGAACAATTTATTTAAAGGGAAACTATGAGATTACCTTCAAGCATTATATTTCTTGCATCAAGAGGGTCACTAGGAAGGAGTAGCATCTGTTAATACAAAATGGAGCATTATCCCAATTGATATTCCAACCATGGAAAGGAAAACATTAAAAAATAGAAACAACAATATTCGGTCAAAGTAGTTCAGAATGCCAAATCAATCAATCGCACATAAAAATACCTTGAGCTTCGCTTCCAGTTCTTTGATTTGATTGGATAAAGATTCAAGTTCAAAAGATATCATCTCTGCCATATCCTCATCACTGCCAGCTTCTTTTGCTAAAGCTGATGTATCAATATAAATATCAAAGTGAATGTTAGCAAATAGCTTCAAATTTTTCGAAAGAAATGTTTTATATAGGCATATAGTTACTTAAACCTTTAGTCTCTTCTAACTGCTTCTCGCAGTCTTTGAAATCCCTATAGATTGTCACAACCTGTACATTGAAAACAAAGGCAAAATACAGTCAGTTAAAATCTGAAATGAAATTCAAGCAGAACACACAACTAAAACCTGGCATGATAAGTGGCAAAGATAAACTGCAGCACTTCATCAAGCTCTGCCACGGACTGCGCAAGCTTCTGGTATTCACTGGGATTTGACACGACATCTGGATCAGCCAGCTTGACCTACATTCATTTCCGCTTCTTCATGAGGATACTCAAATCCAAAGAAAACAACTGCAATAACAAACCATGTAGAACCACAGTACACGAATCTATACAGTGATACACAGGCAGCTAAAATATGCATGAAACCAATTAAACCCAATTCATGCCCCTTTTTTCCCCTCTATCTGTTTTCTTGTAGAATTCGAAACATAAAATTCAAATTCGGTTAAGGCAATTTGCAAGTCATAATCTCTGCAATGGGTCTTTAATTGCAATCACTAGCATCAAAATTTTAATCACCAAAATTCTACATTCCCAATCTTCCGAAATCATTCAAATTCTCTACCATATAAATCCCTAAACCCTAAACCTAAAACCCTAGACCATAAAAAACTACACACTATCACACACAGAGAGAGAAAAATCAAAATCATCAACCCAAAACATTCGGTCAGAGTTCGAATCGTACTGATAAATCTTTCCACGTCTTCTCGGCGGAGTCCAGCTTTGTAATCAAATAGGGCTCCTGCAATTCCACGAAAAAAAACATCAGAAAATGAGAATCCAATCACATAACACCTGTTTGTTTCTCGGGAAAACTTTTCCCGTCAAAAAATAACAAAACCCCAATTTCGAAAGCTGTAAATTTCCAATTTCAATGTTTCGAATTCGGAAGCATTGTTATTGTTCTGGGGGTGGATGTACGAACCGCCATGCAAACGAGTCTGGGAGCTCTGGTAGGAGGTTTACTGACGAACACGGAGCTCGACGACGAGTGGTCGTGGAAACGGCGTCGTGCTGGCAATGCGAGTATTCGAGAAGGAGTGGAGCTCGTAGTGAGGCCACTCATTGCAGCCATGGGAGTTGCAGGTCGGAAGGAAAAACGCGCCTAAACGGACATGTGGCGTTTGGAACGGATAAAGTCCTGCTTACGGTTCCTGTTTGGGAACTTGGATATCGTATCCCACACAAACGGGATTAAAGGTTGTGATTGCAAATGATTAAAGGTTGTGATATTGCAAATAAAACACTTTTAAGTGGAATTTGACGTAATCAAATTTGAATATAGAATTTGAATATAGGTAGAGAATTTGGATTCTCGTCGGATTCTTTTTGCGAGAATTTTAGGGATCTGTGAATCATGTCCGTTCATAATACATCGTGCGGTTAGAAATCATTTTAAATATTTTTATTTAAAATTAAACACAAACACTAGTTGATAAAAACTGATCGCACGATGTACGATGAACGAATACGATTCACGAATTCCCAGGATTCTTACCAAAATGATCCGGAGAGGATGCTGTTGGGTAGGTAGAAGCTTCAACCGGATTGACTTATGTTAATTATTTTTGTGATTATTGTATTGTGTAGGTCATATTAATACACTAATTATAAGTCTTGACATTTTATTTTAATTGATTTCTTTAAAAAAAATATAGAAATTGAAAAAAGAGAAAATCTAAATCATTAAATTAGTATTTAACATTTATATTTAAACATATTCATTGCTATCACTATAAAGGTGTGAACAAATATGGTAAGATTTACAAAAGTACTTACTAAATTTATACATCAAATGATGGGACAATGCATTATTTAATTAAATAATTAGTTCTTCCCTTATATCCAACAAACAAAATATAACATGCATGCGAAAATACTATATGGTGGAAAAAAAAAATTTGTGCCAAGATTTGAACCAAAGCATTTTCGTTTACAAACACAATAAAACATTTTCGTTTTTTTGGTCATAAGATAGATTTGTTAGATTAGAGAGTCGACGGGGTTCACATAGTGGTACAAGGGCAACACTTATCTCCAACATTGTGGTACATGACCACTTGCTAAAACATTTTCCTTTTCAATGTGACCAAATTATATTTAGTTTTTTTTTAAATATATATATATATATATATAAGAGATGGTAGCTTTGTCATGATAGTCCACTTTTATAGTGTGACATCCCACATCATCCAGGGGAGTGATCCTTAAATGTATATTCCATCCCTACCTAGCACGAGGCCTTTTGGGAGCTCACTGGCTTCGGGTTCCATCCGAACCCCAAAGTTAAGCGAGTAGCGCGCGAAAGCAATCCCATGATGGGTGACCCATTGGGAAGTTCTTGTGTGAGTTCCCAGAAACAAAACCGTGAGGGCGTAGTCGGGGCTCAAAACGGACAATATCGTGCTACGGTAGTGGAATGGGCCCGGGAAGTGGTCCACCCCAGGCCGGAATGTGACAATTTGGTATCAGAGCCTAACCCTGACTGTGGTGTGCCGACGAGGACGTCGGGCCCCTAAGGGGGGTGGATTGTGACATCCCACATCACCCGGGGGAGTGATCCTTAAATGTATATTCACATCCCTACCTAGCACGAGGCTTTTTATGAGCTCACTAGCTTCGGGTTCCATCCGAACCCTGAAGTTAAGCGAGTATCGCACGAGAGCAATCCCATGATGGGTGACCCATTTGGAAGTTCTCATGTGAGTTCTCAGAAACAAAACCGTGAGAGCGTAGTCGGGGCCCAAAGCGAACAATATCGTGCTACGGTGGTGGAATGGGCCCGGGAAGTGGTCCGTCCCGGGCCAGGATGTGACATATAGTGACAAGAAAAATTCGCATAAACGTTTTAGCCTCCCTATGGGCACCATCATGTGATTCACTAGTATCAAGAATCGAACTCAAAACGTGTCATGTAGAATATGAGTATGGAATTTGCCCCAACCACAAGGCCACCCAGTTTTATTAAAATCTAGTTGGGTAAGTGTAATGTGTACTCATTTCGGCTAGAGGAGGCGTTGAGGGGAAGCGAAATGTGCAATTGCACAGGACCCTCAAATTTGAAAGGCCGCAAAAATTTTGGTATCTTATATTTATATATAATAATGTTATATATTAAAAAAATACTTTTATTATCATTTTAAAATCTTATAGTGCACTTTTATAAGTGCAAATTTTTTTTATTTCTAAATATAAAAATTTGGAGTGCACAATGAGATATTAGGAGTGCCAATAACAACACCTTAAAAACAATTTTTTTTTCAATTTTATTATAATAATACTATATATTCAAGTGAAACTCTAAATTTAGAGTTTTTGAAGCTTTTTCTTTTTCTTTATTTGGTTTCTTAAGATTTAATTGTTTTTTTATTATTTAGTGAATGTTATGTTTATAACTCTTTTTACTATTTAATGACACTTGTAAACTTATAATCAGTGAGTCTTAAATGTTGTTTTGATTTAAGTTGTTATTTTCAAGTACCAATATGGTGTCCTACTTTTAAAAAAAACTATCTTAAAAATAGGCCATTTTACAAAATTCGCACAGAATCCCCGAAATCTCAGAGACAATCCTGATTTGGGCCAACCAAAAAGAAATCAACATGTGCACTGCATGGTGTTACACTCTCGTTCGAGTCAAGTTTTCTCATAATTTAAATTAATTAATTCAACTTAATATAAATTTCTTTATCGTTTGTCAGCGTCCCTCATACTTTAAATGTGTTCGATTGAGTCTTTAATCATCTTGACATTTTAAGCTACATTTCTAGGAAAGAGGATCTTCTCCGGATCCACTTTGTGGGGATCCTAAAGATCTCCACATCCTAGTCGTTCATCGTATATCGTGCGGTCAGTTTTTGTCATATATTATTTATGTTTAATTTTAAATAAAAAAAAGTCAAATAATTTATGACCGCACTTTACATGATGAATGACTAAGATGTAAGGATTTATAAAATCCCCACAATTTGGATCCGGATGAGATCCAAATCCCATTTCTAGCACCAATTTTGGTTTTTTTGTTTGCGCCAATTTAATTTTGGAAACAAATCTAATTTTGGAAACAAATCTAAACTACCGGACCACACGCCGTACAGTGCAAAGTGGCTTCTTTCGTGCAGGGCTCCGAACAGAAAGAACAAGCCAATCAGAAGCCTCTCTCACTCCGACTATCAAAATGCTAGTTTCATCCTTCCATACAATGCGGCATCGAAGCTCACTTTTGTCGCATTCCTTGTCCGGATCGCCAAGGGCTGCTTCGTAATTTTCGAACTCCACCAACGGTTCCCAAGCAGATCACTCTCTTTCCGGTGCACCTTGTATTAGCCGGTACGGAAACACAGTCCAAGTCCCTTATGAAATAGAAATTTTTGGTTTAGCCCGCGAGCGTCATTTAATAGTAATAAATATATTGTTTGTTAAAAAAAAATATACCGTCGTTTTGTTGACTATTTACATGAATCTTATCTTAGTTGTTGGTCGTATTGATATTTTTAATACAATGATATGAGGATATACAATATTGACCATAAGTTATACATATGCTAACCATCAAGCCAATGGAATAGATTCTCATTTATTTTTAAAATGGGCATTAGTTTTGGGATCTGCTCCACATTGAAACCATTTGGCCATTTAATTCGAAACCATTTGGCCATTTAATTGCCACAATGAAATTTTAATGTTTCTTAGAATATAATGTTGGTCAATTTCTTCAAACTCAATTAGATGCCTCAAATATTTATGGTTTGGCTAATATTTGCAAGGATTATCTATGAGGTGCAACTTGACAAATAGACAGTTCAGATCGTTGAAGTTCGATGTAATGTGGGCATCACAACTAATCCCCATTTAAAAAAAAAAAAAGAGGGATCCTTTTCCTAAAGGCATTGCGCCAATCATATTCAGATATAAAAATCGTCATTAATGAAAATTTGAACAAACATTAGACATCTCTCTTAAAAGTGGACTTAAATACTATTGATCCAATGCTGAAATTAAAAAAATGATAGATAATGTGTCAATATACTTATTGATAATGTGAATACAACCAAGAGACTTGAATGTAAATATCACGAAAATGACTTACATTGTCACGCCCCGACTGAGACTCAAAACATACAATATACATCAGAGCTTCAACGAAAATAATTTACAATAAAGGACAACAATTCTTACTCTTGAAATCTTTCTCTAATCGCTACGTGGTACTTTGCAAAACAACCTACATATTGAGAATAACACAACAAACAAAGCAAAAACTCTAATAAGCTGAAAGCTCATATGCATGACAATAATACAACATATATGATTGAAAGTACAATCATAGTGCCACATGGTACTCTGCAAAACAACCCTACATATTGAGAGAATAACACAACAAACAAAGAAAAAACTCTAATAAGTTGAAAGCTCATATGCGTGACAATAATACAACATATATGATTGAAAGTACAATCATAGTTTGAAAACACAAAAGTTGAAAATACGTAATTTCTTCGTTAAAGCACCGTTTCTCGAACAATTTTTCGCCTACGCACTCGTGAGGTCGAGCTCTATCTAACCAACGCAAGATATGACAAAAAAATCTAGTAAAATTTGAAACGAGCAAAATACACCTAACTTCGCTTTTGTCTAAACTAGATAATTTAACGACTAATTTCAATTAAATCTCGAAATACTTCAAAAATAAAATAAATCACTAAAATTCAGGACCGAATATCACATACATGCACCACTCGAAAATACCACCTTAGAATTTTAGGCTAATGATTCAATGTTATGTATAATCGTTTTCTTTTAAACAAATATTATCATTAAGGTGAGGTTGATGACTCCAAATTATTACAATAATTTAAAAATAAGAGAATTTCAAACTTATATTGCATGAGTAAAAACGTAATACCTTATCCACGAAATTCTGGACGATATTTTGTAAATAAAATTGCGATATTAATTTAGAATATTATCACAATAACGAACTCAACTTAGGTAAGTCCTTTCTCAAGCGAACCCAAATATTTTTCCATTAAAAAAATCAAAAAGGAAGAGAGAGAAAAAAAAAGGGGAGAGAGAGAGAGAGAGAGAGAGAGAGAGAGAGAGCGTTTTGGTGCGTGCGAAGCCAAAAAGGGCAAAATACCAGACCGTACGACGGTCTCTTTTAGAGAGAAAGCAATTAAGCTTCTCCATCACTGTGAAGAAACCGTCGCCGCTCTCTCTCTCACCTCTTTCCCTCACTCTCTTCCACTCGATCGAGCTTCTCAGATCCTTCTAGGCCTCTCTAGAAGGGCGGTGGGATTCCTGTACAGCTCTCCCTTTCCTCCTCCTCCTATTCCCCACAGTTGATGCAGGTGTACAGATACCCAACACTCGTCGTTTTGTGATGGACTTGTACGGACGAAGCCCCGCCAGAAACGGGTCGAACCAGGAATGGAGCCCCGCCGCCGGTGAGACCGGCCTCGAAGGTACTCCTTTACTTGCTCGGCGTTTCAATTTCGTTTCGTTTGAGCTCGATTTGGGCTAATTTCGTAAATGGGGTTTCTAGGGTTTCGGGTTTGGTTTGGTAATGTGGGGGTGTGATTGGGGTTTTGTTCTGATTTGGGGGTAAATTGTAGAGCAAATGTGGCATTTGGGGTTGACGAGCAGCGAATCGTACCCGGAGCGACCCGGCGTGCCCAACTGTGTTTACTACATGCGAACCGGGTTCTGTGGATATGGTGGTCGGTGCCGGTACAATCATCCTCGTGATCGTGCCGCTGTAAGTCCTTGTTCGCTGTTAATTTTCATTGCAACCATTTAATGAGCTTTGTCAAGACTGCTTAATTGTGGGTTTTTATATGTAAACTAGTACTTAAGCTTTCAGTGATAGGTGACTGCTACAGGACATATTTCTTAAGTTTGAGTGTTTTGTTGGGGGTAGTTTTTGTCCCTTTACGTGAAACTAGATGATTGTTTGTTTCCTGGGAAAGCTGGGGAAAAGAAATGGGAACTTTTTTTGGAATGATATGTTTTTCGTGCTTTTATTCGACCTAGTTAAACAAGTCTATATTTGATGAAAATATTAGGCCTAATATTTGTGTTTTGGGCTCGGTTGAGTGGGCAATGTTGTCTTAGTGACATACGACTGCTTGGATTTTACTGGTTAACTGAAATTGTCTTTGCTTGTTAATTTTATTATCCTTTGTTTATGACTTCGGTTGGATGCTGCACATAGGTCGTGGCAGCTGTAAGAGCTACAGGGGACTACCCAGAGAGAGTGGGGGAACCTATATGTCAGGTATGCAGTAGTTTTCTGCTCCGTTGTAAAATGTGAATTTCCTGCCTGATAATGAGAATCTAGATCTGGAAACTTTACGGCAACTTGGTTCTGTTGTTGATTTATTTATTTGAGCTTTGAACTTCATATGCCATTGTGACATTTGTTTGCCTAATATGCAGTATTATTTAAAGACTGCGACCTGTAAATTTGGCGCGTCCTGCAAGTACCACCATCCAAAACATGGAGCTGGATCCTTAAGCCGAGCTCCCCTAAATATCTATGGATACCCATTACGACCGGTTTGAATTTCCTCTCTGTCTCTCTGTCTGTCTGCCTCTCTCATCCACATAAGGGTGTGTAGACTTTTGAGAAATTTGTGTAGCAAGTGGCTCACAGTTTTTTATTTTTTTATAACAGGGCGAGAATGAATGCTCCTACTATTTGAAAACGGGGCAATGCAAATTTGGCATAACCTGTAAATTCCATCACCCACAGCCTGCTGGAACAGCAATACCAGCTTCTGCACCTCAATTTTATCCGTCGGTGCAGTCTCCTTCCGTTCCTTTGGCAGAACAGTATGGGGGGGCATCCACCAGTTTGAGGGTGGCTAGGCCTCCACTATTACCTGGATCATATGTGCAAGGGGCGTACGGTCCTGTCTTAATTCAACCAGGAGTTGTTCCTATTCAGGGTTGGAGTCCTTATTCGGTATGATAAAAACATGTTTAGGTTGATATATGATTGAAATTCATTGCTAATAAGTTGTTGCTTTACTTGGTGCAGGCACCTCTTAGTCCTGTACTATCACCTGGAGCTCAACACACAGTTGGAGCAACTTCTTTATATGGAGTAACACAGCTATCTTCTCCAACACACGGACTTGCAAGACCTTATACCTCCATACCCTCTTCTGTTGGTCCTTCTAGCAGCAACCCGAGTGAACAAGTTTTCCCAGAGAGGCCTGGCGAACTTGAATGCCAGTACTATCTGAAAACTGGGGACTGTAAATATGGAGCATCTTGTAGGTATCATCATCCTCGGGATCGAACTGCACCAAGGATAACTTGTCTCCTTAGCCCGATGGGTCTCCCACTCCGTCCGGTATGCAAAGTTGTTTTATATTCATCTTGATGAATCTTTAATTTTTCTAAATTCCGCTGTTAGAAGTTACTGAGTTTCATACTCACCTGGTTATCCAATTTGGTAGACCCAATAGTTTTCTTTTACTCTGTTAAACAGTAATCTTTTTCCTAAAGGGGATTGTTGGATGCTACTATCACATCTAAAAGTATACCTGGTCGACCTCCTTTGTACAACCAAATGAAATGCAAAAGTAGGTAGCAAAGAAAAGGCTGTCATACCATGTATATAGATTGTGTAAACATGTTTTTCAGTAATTTGTTAACGATGTCATATTCTATGGAGAAAATTAATGTGCTTTTATTTGGACAGGGAGTGCAACCGTGTACATTCTACCTGCAAAACGGTCAGTGCAAGTTTGGATCTACATGCAAATTCGATCATCCAGTGCAGACCATGAGGTACAACCCCTCAGTTTCATCTCTCGTTGATATGCCTGTTGCTCCATATCCGGTTGGGTCTCTGCTGGCCACCCTGGCTCCATCATCCTCATCATCAGATCTTCGGCCCGACTTACTTTCAGCTTCCACAATGGATACTTACTCGGCTAGAGTGCCCTCTTCCGGGAACGCCTCAAGTAGTTCAGTTGGATTGATTTTTTCTCAGAGCGGTTCTGTTTCACTGTCTGATGTGCAACTGTCCACTCAGACTTCATCCCCTTTGAGCAATAGCAGAAGCACGAGACCGGTTGGCGAGCTTCGTCGATCAAGTTAAACGTAATACCCAAAGTCAGCTCGTTCGCTATCTCCAGGATCGCGGTTTCACCAAGGCTCTTTCTGTTTATATAGATGTCGTCGGTAAATGTATAATGAGGTCAATTGTGCAAAGGGTGTCATATTTCGGTCTTTCAACCAAATCTGTTTATCCAACACAGTAGTAGGAAAGGCACACACAATGTTGATGCTTGTGTCAATTCGATATTACAGGAATCCAATATAAATTCCAAATAAAGCTGCAGTATCGAAATTTCCCATGTCTTCTTTTCAGTTTTCATCTCTTTCAACTTCAAGTGATTACAAATATGAAGTATGCCTGCAATTTTTACTCTATTTCATAATGTTTGATGAGCAATGCTTTTTGACAGCCAAAAGTGCTTCTGACTAGCTTCCAGGTGCTTTTTTTAAGAAACACTTGGATCGTTATTTCAAATTTCAGAGCGTTTATAATAAAAGCGCTTGTAAGTGCATAGGTATGAGTGGACGTGCTTCATGCTACCTAATGGCCCAGCTCTTTCAACGATGCATTTTCGGAATTTACTAGGTAGGGGATTGATAAGCCGGAGGAAGGTGAGGATGATGTCAAGTTATCATTCTCCACCCCTTACGCCCCAGGCAACACATGCTATAGGTATCGTTTGGCATGCAGACGGGTCGGAACGGAGAGGGAGCAAAGATGCCCTCGGATGGAAACAAGGAGGAAGAAGAAGGAGACGGAGATGTTATAATTTTGTGTTTCGCGGATGTGGAACAAGTTGTTCCAGGAGGTGAGGTGGAACGAAAATTCACCAAAAACTCGTCTCGTGGAACAGTGTGTTCCAGCTGTTTTAGTCGCACCAAATGTGGGACAGAACGCTTCGTCCCACTCCGTTTCGTCCCGTCCCGTCCCACGTACCAAACGGTACCATAATGTTCGGAACCACTAATAATAGTCGGTCAGTCATACGACGGTGAACTCATTCTCATGTCCCATGTCAGAAGAGAAGAGAGGACGCAACATTAAGTTGCAAGTCATTGAATCCCTCCAATGATATATCTCCCAATGTATGCAAGAATCTCTCCGTTCACTTAGTCACTCGTGATTTGATGCAATGTTTGTGCCTAAAAAAAAACAAATTAAAGCAGCGGAGGAGGGCACTCCAATTTCTTCTCTTTCCCCTGCCATCTGTAGGAATGTTGAAGCAGCATATGGATTGGACCAATTGCCAACTGTTCACAAAGAAATTTAACTTAACGATCGATTTTCTAGAGAAAGACTTTCTTGACACAACTACACTTTTCTTTGCCGATTTGTACAGATTATAAGTTTTTACTAACGTAATGTTGTATTATTAACGCAAAACGTCAAAGTAACAGTTTACCGTGCCTTTGAATTTTGACTGATTACGACGAATCTTTAAATGTTGTTCACCACCAACCGATCATCCAGCAAACACAAAAGAAAAAGAATTGATGGGGTTATCATTGCCAACCGATCGACTCAATCCAAGGCCATCATGAGTCCAACAACGTCACATCGAGAGCACTGAGTACCACAAACATACGTACAAGCAAATTTAATACAAGCATGTGTTGCCACGGTAATTCAATTATATAATCCTCCATATGGTGCAGTTTCGCATTATAATCAATTTCCGTGTTATAATACAGATAGATGAAATTGTAGTGGACGAGATTATGTGACATGGAATACCGTTAAACCTCTATAAATTAAAGAAATTATTATTGGCACTCAAAAATTTAATTGTGCAGTCCAAATTTTCTATATTTAGAAAGAAAAAAAAAATATTTTCATAAGGAGTGCACGATTAGATTTTTAGAGTGTCAATGACGGTTTCCTAAATTAATAGTTTTGGACCAAGGGAATCTATTAATTTAGTGGAAAATTAAGTAATCGATAAATTAATATTTCATTATTTTATGAAAGTATTCTTTATTTTTTTTTTAAATATTGTACATTCTATTTAATTTCTCGTTTTATAAACTAACAATTCTATATATTTGTTTAACTAAATAAAATTCAAGAGTCTACTTATTTTTTTTTTCAAAAATAGATTGTACATTGTTCAAGATGATGAAGTCGAAGATGCTAGTTTTACTATGGAGTATGGAGCCCCTTTTTTTCCGAAAAGAAGCTCTTAAAGCGACAATGACATTGAATAATATAATGTTGTAGATTGTAGTATGAGAAAACAACATCAGAACTTCTTGTCATGTCAAGAAAAGTTAGAGATAAGATACAAGATAACATCAATTTCAAGAAGAAATAAATAATAATTGAGTCATATTTTAAGAAGGCATCATAGTCAAATAATAAGCGTTATGTATCAGAAAATTATTAATTTATGTATTAGGTAGGATCTGTATGAATTTTTAATAATATATATTATCTAATAATTATAGCGAATTATTAATTTAGCATGTTATCGTAAAGTCGAGACCGGCCAAAAATATTATTTAACCAGATTATAAATTTATTGATTATTAAATTATCGAGGTTCTACTGTATACGATGGAAATGCATGTTTGGATCTCGAATTTCCCTGTAGTTTAAGTGGATGCATTGAGGTTCTCATTATATCAGGTAAACCCACTCATCCTTTAAATCTCTACTTTAATTAGCTTTACACATAATTAGGGACTTAATTAAGCAAAAGCTTCAAGCGAGTTGCTTTCACTAGCCATGATTACAACCCCAAAAGCACTGCAACCCTCTCAGAAATCCTGCAAAATTCCCTCACAAACATTAACCATGTAAAAGCAACTCACTCATTCACTCCCTCTCATTACCTTTCACCGAAAAGTGCTTTTGCAGCTGCAATTCCTTGACTTTTTAGATTCAAACCTTATCACAGGCACTCATTAAAGTAATTATATTGTATCAAAGTCCCCTCCCGTTTGTTCCTGCATGGTTTCATGTGGCTTTCTCTTCTCCAGCAGCATTTTTCATTTTCTCTCTTCCCTCAAACCATCCCTCAGAAAAATGCTGCAATGTGGAACTGGAAAGTGAGATATCTGAGATGGGGTTTTAGTTAAACTGCTTATGGTGGGAAATCTGAGATGGGGTTTTAGTGGAAAATGCTTATGTTGCTGAAAGTTTGAGTCTTTTGAACTTTTTTTTGTAGTGGATTTCGTGGTGCAGGGTTTTGAGTGGGAATTTATGAACATAAGGTGTTTGAAAATTTGAGAAATCAGCTACGGGCTTTTAGTGAAAGTGCTTATACTGTTGAAACTTTGGGACTCTTGAAATTTTGTAGTGGGCCTGAAGCTGCAGGATTTTGAGTGGGAACTCTGATCGTAAGGTGGTCGAGGAATGATGGGGGTCGTCACCATTGGTGAACTGAAGCCTAGCATTTCCGGGAAGCGGTCTATTCGTCCGAGTTCAAGCATAAGGCATGCCACTGAATGGTAATGTTCCCCTTATCTTCTGCTTTTTTTTTTTTTTGAGCGATATTTTAGTCTAATCTAAAACAGTAAAATGTGTGAGTGGAAATTGAACTTGAGTGCACATTGTGGTAGCCAACTTTGCTACGCCTAGTTCCGCTTTCGTCCATCTCTTATAATCTTATTACTTTTGACAGATTACCTGCATTTAATTTTCTGTTTTTCAATTTTAGCCTTGTTTTCTCTAACTTTGAGCCATATGGTAGTTTCCACTTACCAGTAACTCTACGTTACACGGATACGGATAGCGCGATACAACACGAAAGGACACGAAAATAGAGTTTATTTTTTAGCATTTTTTTGGGATTTGAGTGTCAGAACAGAGCCTGTGTTTTTCAGACAGTAGAAAATCGAAACGACAATGGCACGAGGTGGACCGGGCTGATTGCTGTCCAGATGCAGCCATATTTCACTAATAATATTCTTGAAGTGCCAACTGCCACCCCAAGTTAATGTTTTGTGGATCAATTATTTGTTGTACATTTACCATCTGTAGGCCCTGAAGACATGTACGGACCAGTTGTACAAATTCTCCATTGGTTCTGGCTTTATTCAGCGTCACTGTTACACCGCCACGTAGAATAATGAATCCGCTCAGCTAGGTTAGCCAATCACGAGGGCCCCAATATCTTTGCTGGCCGGTGAATTTGGTCAATCTTTTCCAATTCTGGAGCACAAGTTCTGCAGACTTCAATCAGCTTTCTTATCCTTTACCATAATCTAACATTACTCTTCGTGTGCACACTCCAATCCACCATTCATTTCGCAATTATTGGGCCGTCCTTCTGTAACAAATCACTAATATGATTACATAGAGGGAGGATCACGCTGTCCATATGTTTGGATTGAACTTGAAACTGTGTGCAGTGTACTTTCATGGAAAATACAGAAGTTCCTTGCAGGGTTTTTGATATGTTGGCACATATGAGAATGTATGCATGTTGTAGTTCTAGATTGTAACAGATTTTGATTCTTGCCTCGCTTCGATTCCATTTTTCAACGAATTTTGTCTTTGTCACAGGCCAATCTCCGATGTTTCTAGCGATCTTACCGTGGAGATAGGAGCATCAAGCCTCGCACTTCACAAGGTGAGTGAAATTGGTTCAGAACTAGTCTATTGTTTCAATTTGTTGCAGTTACAAAATAATTATTGTGTTTTATTAGCTAGTGATAAGATATTGTCGTGTGACGATTAAATGAAAAATATGTCGAATTATGAAAGGAAGGAGAATTAGTAATGTGATGGTGACTATGTTGCAGTTCCCTCTAGTTTCTCGGAGTGGAAGGATTCGGAAGCTGTTGCTTGAAGCAAAAGATTCAAAAGTTTCACGCATAATTCTTGCTTCTGTTCCGGGTGGACCAGAGGGATTTGAACTAGCTGCGAAATTCTGTTACGGAGTTAATGTTGAGATTACGCAGTCAAATGTTGCCACACTTCGTTGCGTAGCGCACTTTCTGGAAATGACGGAAGAGTATGCTGAGAAAAACATGGAAACCAGAACTGAAGCTTATCTGAAGGAGACGGTTTTCCCAAACATAGCAAAGTCGATATCAGTTCTTCATCGCTGCGAAATCCTCTTGCCTGCAGCAGAAGAAACCAACTTGGTAAGCAGGCTTATCAACGCAATCGCAAACAATGTGTGCAAAGAGCAGCTCACCTCTGGCTTATTGAAACTTGACCACAACTTTCCTGAGAAAGCGGCTTCAAATATGCAACCTGAAACGCCTGCAGACTGGTGGGGAAAAGCGCTTACAGTGCTTAGTCTCGACTTCTTCAAACGTGTTATATCCACGTTGAAAACCAAGGGTCTTAAACAGGATCTGATCTGCAAAATTTTGATCAATTATGCTCATAATTCTCTTCAAGGACTTGTCATCCGAGACAACCAATTGGTAAAAGGAAGCCTTTTGGATTTAGAACTGCAAAACAAACAAAGTGTCATTGTTGAAGCTATAGTCAGTTTGCTTCCAACACAATCAAGGAAGAGTCTAGTTCCAATGGCATTTCTTTCGAGCTTGTTGAAAACTGCGATTGCAGCATCGTCGTCTGCTTCCTGCAGATCCGATTTAGAGAGACGGATTGGTCTGCAGCTGGATCAGGCAATTCTCGAAGACATCCTGATTCCGGCAAATTCACACGGAAACAACCACAGCACAATCTATGACACAGATGCTGTATTGACGATCTTTTCGATATTTCTGAACTTGGATGAGGATGATGATGATGAAGAGAATCACTTGAGGGACGAAAGAGAAATGGTTTATGATTTCGACAGCCCTGGATCTCCTAAGCAAAGTTCGATCCTGAAAGTATCAAAGTTGCTAGACAATTATCTTGCAGAAGTTGCACTGGACTCGAACTTGATGCCGTCAAGGTTCATAGCTCTAGCAGAACTACTTCCAGACCATGCTCGAATAATAAGCGATGGACTCTACCGAGCTGTGGATATCTTCCTCAAAGTGAGTAATACATCTCTCTCTCTCGCTCTCGCTTTTCTCGCAGTCAATTTGTGAATGCATTTTTCTTCTCAAGATGTTGATCAACGCCAATCTGGATTTGTGTTTCTGTTTATAGGTCCATCCGAATCTCAAGGACTCTGAACGCTACCGCCTCTGCAAAACCATCGACTGCCAGAAACTATCCCAAGAAGCATGCAGTCATGCGGCACAGAATGAAAGGCTACCGGTACAAACGGCAGTGCAAGTGCTCTACTTCGAGCAAATCAGGCTCAGAAACGCAATGAACGGTGGCCACAACCAGTACTTCTTCGGGGCAATTAACGCCACACAAATCCCTCAAAGATCAGGCAGTGGTGCAGGCAGCGGAGCCATTTCACCGAGAGACAACTACGCGTCAGTCAGAAGAGAGAACCGCGAGCTGAAGCTTGAAGTTGCGAGAATGCGAATGAGGCTGACAGACTTGGAAAAAGATCATGTTTCTATGAAACAAGACCTTGTAAAGTCACATCCTGCAACCAAGCTGTTCAAATCTTTCACCAAAAAGTTGGGGAAGCTCGGTGCATTGTTCAAGATCAATAGTATCAACCCTCTTGGGGGGAAGGCGCGTTCGGAGTCCAGATTTCTGTTCCAGAAACGAAGGCGCCATTCGGTTTCTTGAAGAACTGGGGAGTGTGAATATGTATACAAGTGTTACAAGAGTGTATAGTATATATAACTGTTGTATTAGCATATGATTATACATATGTGTGGTGCGTTTTCTAAATTATAATATAAGTTTGATATTTGAGATTCTATTTGTTATATATATAACATGAATATCACAGATCCCTTGAACTTTTGGTGAAACATTTTATGTTCATGTTATAGTATGTGAGTTAGTAACATCACGTGACTGTGTAACAATTATTAATTTCTAGAAACTTTTTATGTTGTAGACAAACGATAAGATCATGTTCGTTGTAAGCCCCAATAGGAATTCTTTGTGCAGGTTGTCGCATTCTGTTGACATCGTTAAAAATGTATTGATAACATGTTGGTACAATTTGTTTATGACTTCAACACATTTTTTTTGCATCGCAATTAAGATAATATCATAAAAATGTGTCGGCATTATTGCCATATCAAACTGTACCAACATGTTATCATATATCAATACATTTTTAATGACGTCCATGAGATGCGACATCCTACACAAAGAATTCCTGTTGGGGCTTACATTTCAGTTCCATCTTAGAATTAAGCTTTTTATAAATATATAAAATCGATTGGAAGCTTAACAATTCGACTCTGTGGCCCAATGGATAAGGCGCTGGTCTACGAAACCAGAGATTCTGGGTTCGATCCCCAGCAGAGTCGTTTTTTATTTTTTTTAATTAAACTTCCCTCCTTTTTTTTTCGCTCATTTGCCGCTTCGCGCGTTTTCAAGGGGAAAGCTCGAAAACGACGACGTTTCGGTATCTTGAGCAGGAAGATCTCTCTGCGTGCAACCGTTGTAGAACAAAGGGAGACGGCGGCGCATCATCGTCGATCAATCGGGAGAGGGAGAGAGAGATGAGCAGGTCGTATTTTCCCTTCTCCAGAATCTTCAGGTACCTCCACGTAAAACCCTAATCTAAATTTTTAAATTTTTTTTCTTTGTTTCTTCGCTTCAATTTTAGGGTTTTCGAATGATTCCGAAAAAATGGCTGATAGTTCGATTCTAAACCTGCTTGGTTTTCTGTAGTTAGATTTTTGTTTTATTAACCCTAATTTTCCTTTAAAGTTCAAAGCTTTGAATTTAAATTTGTCTGTTGGTTTCGGTTTCTGCATATCCCAGATTTGTTAGATTGATCTAGGGCATATGGGAATTTTCATTGGCCGTAGTTGTTTGGTAAAATTAATTTACTTTCGCCTGTAAAATTCCCAGTAAGAGTTTCAAGCCGGGATGGTTATATGAATGGTAAAAGAAACAAATTTGCAGCTTTCCGGTATCTGCATTGGTGTCATGTTTTGTAGAGTGGGGGTGAACTGATTAATCTAAGATTAACCCGCTGTCCCGACCCTGATCGTGCAGTGTTCCCAAGTTGAAATTGCTTGCTGGCCTGTGGAGAAGGAACCGTTTTCCCCGCTTAATGTCCCTTTGTAATGACAGAGGGAATTTGAATTGCCTGTTGGGGTCATGAATTAAACGAAAACTGTGTCCTTCGCTGTCTCTCTGATGCCCTGTGTATTGAATTCTTGCTATAAACTAGTTCTGATGGCCCTAAAAGTTATGTATCCGAGAGAAGGGAGTGATGTTTCTGCATTGGTGTCATGTTTTGTAGAGTGGGGTGAACTGATTAATCTAAGATTAACCCGCTGGCCTGACACTGATCGTGCCGTGTTCCCAAGTTGAAATTGCTTGCTGCTGTGGTGAAGGAACCGCTTTCCCCGTTTAATCTCCCTTTGTAAGGACAGGGGAATTCGAAGGGTTTCGTTAAAACCTTCAGGATTGTTTTAATTGTGGGATTTTTCATCTGTTGGGGTCATGAATTAAACGAAAACTGTGTCCTTTGCCGTGTGTAATAGTAGGGGTTGAATTTGTGTCTTTTGACTCTTCTCTGACACCCTGTGTATCGAATTCTTGCTATAAACTAGTTCCGATGGCCTTAAAAGTTATGTATCTGAGAGAAGGGAGTGATGTTTCTGCTGAATGTCAGTTGTGTGCTTGACGTCTTTCTTTCTATATTTTGCGAGTTTTTTCTTACTATATTGTCTTATTTGTCATTTGCATTTAATTGGGATTATTTCCTGTTTATTGTTGCTTAGGCAGCTGGAGCGAGAGATGGAAACTGTGGTGAAAGTACTGCAGCCTGGACCTTTAGGGATCATAGAACACAGGTTCTCTGCTGAGGAGATACGCAAGGCAAACGCTACGGTTCAGAGAGCAGTGGAAAACTGGCGACGGAGTGCAATCCTAGAGCAGACAAATCCTTTCTTGAAAGATTATATTCAGAAGTGAAGGATCTGCTCAAGCCATTTTTCATGGGTAATCGAACAATCAAACTTTTTGGGATAGAAAACTTCTCTCTTCCTCAGCAGAGCTTTTCACCAAAGTTAAAGAAAGGCTCTCTTAGTTTCTTCACCCTTTCGCTGTTTGCGAGAAGTTAGAACCTGTCACCTGTTTGCAGTGCATTTATCTCTTTCCTAGTTTTGTTTGTTATGTTTTCTGATTAAGAATGAAATGCTTTATCTGGTTTAGTTTAAATAATTACTCGTTAGCGAAGTATCCATATATCCCATCTTCCGCAGATGTTAAATTGTGGACACACTGTGCATAGAAAAATAAAAATAAAATTGAAATAGCGTCGTGTTGACATTGATAAGGTAATAAAAGTCTGCCTATGTCTATGCCGGTTGTAATGATCCGTTTCGAGAATTTCATTTTAATTAGTTAAAATTATAAAAATACCCCTAATGACAGAAAGGTTGATCTTCGTTGACTTTCGTTCGTTGAAGTTTTAAAATTTTTTGTTATTTTATTTCCGTAGCTCTTGTTGATATGGATGCACTGGCGCAAACAGAATCGAATTCGGAGCTAAAATGAAGCTTCTACGATTTTTGAACGACAAGGGCATTTTGGTAATTTCACTAGTGGAGATATTTCTTCTTCAGTAAGCGTACACACACACACACACACACACACCCACATACATACATACATAGACAACAACCACAACGACCACACACCATCATCATCATCATTTGGACCTTCTCTTCTCTCCCTCACCTGCCTCCGATCTCACTCTTTCTCTCTGCACAAACATTATGCTTGTGATCTCCGACAAGATCTCGAGCTTTTCCAACTAAGGTAAGGTCTAAAATGTCCTTGAAACTCCATAGATTGTGTTAGGAGTAGGTTTAGGATGTTTTTGAGTAGTTTTCGTGGTTTTTGGACGCATACTCAATTCGGGAACCATTTTTCCAGATTTTCTAACGAGGTCCGACGGCCTTCGAGCCATTTTCCGGCCAACTCCGGCCACGACACAACTCCAAAACGATACAAGTCTCTTCCTCTCGTGCCAAGCTTCATTTTCGCTTTTGAATCATTGCAAATGCTGTAGAATTGAGCTAGAACGGAGCTCGGGAAGTATTGCCCAGATTCTGCCCAAACCCATGGCCTGAAATCGGGTCGATTTGACCTGTGAACCAAAAACCCAGCCCAATATCCGACCCAAACCTTTGGGCCAGATCCAAACCAATAACTTGACCCATTAACCCAATATCCTAGGCCCAAAACTCGATCTGAAAACCAGCCCAATCCAGTTATCCAAGCCCAAATCCAACCTGACCCAGACCCAGTCCCAGTCTCCTTGGTCGGCCCGTGGAGCACATGCGCCTTTGTTGGAGGTACTGTGCTCCGCTGCCGTTCATGGCAACACCGACGAACTTTCCGGCAGCCTATCTCGACGCGTGTGGTGGCGCGTGGTCTTCTGGGTAGCCGCCCCATGGCTGCACGTGGGGGAAACCCAGGTCCCTTCTTAGGTTTTTCGACATGCCGAATCCGAATCCGCTGTCTGTTTTCCCAAATTCGGCCGTTTTAGTAGAGTTTTACTAAATGGCTCTATACGTGTTTAGGTGTATTGGTGGGAAGTGACTCCATCCTCGCTAGTTCGAGCGGCTTTCTGGTAGTGGAATACTTGTGAGTGGACCCCTTCTTAATTGCATTTTTTATTTATAAAATATTAGGTTTGCATGCATTTCATATTTCATGATTTGAGTATGTTTTATATTATATTTTTACGGATTTCTATAATTATGATTTGAGGAGAATTTATGAATGATTTAAATTGCTTTTAAGGAAATATTAATGATTTATCGAATTGACGTTTTACTAAAGGTTATGAATCTTTGGATTTACATATTTGAAATTCTCTGGATTTATGGATGTGAAATATCATGGATTTATGTGTTGAGGCTTTTGAGCTTTTGAGCTTCGGTGATTGGATATGATTTTTGAGGTATGTTTTGATGCTTATCTAACGGGTTATCATACATCTTGAGAATGGAATGGCAGAAAAGAATTTTCTGTATTAATTCTCAATGAATATACAAGCTGCGCTAGGGTTCTTATACAAACTGCAAGAATACAATCACAACTTCTAACTCCTACAAATCAGCTAAGTAAATATTTGTACAAAGGGAAAGAATAAATCACTGATAGTCAATGATTATCATGCTACCAAATAGGAAGGAAACTAATCATATCTCAACACTCCCCCTCAAGTTGGCGAGTGAATGTCAAAAACTGCTAACTTGCTCAGCAAAAAACGAAATTGATCTTTTCCTAAAGGCTTCGTCAATATGTCTGCAACCTGCTTTGAAGATGGAACAAATTTGGTGACTACCTTTCCTTCTTGAATTTTATCTCGAACAAAATGGCAGTCAATCTCTATATGGCGTGTCCGCTCATGAAAAACAGGATTAGAGGCAATGTGAAGAGCTGCTTGGTTATCACAATGTAAAAGAGCAGGACCCATATCTTTAATGTGTAAATCACATAAAAGACTTTGTAACCAGGTGAGCTCACAACAGGTAGCAGCCATTGAACGGTATTCTGCTTCTGCAGAAGACAATGAGACTGTCTTCTGTTTTTTGCTTTTCCATGAAATTAAAGAATCTCCAAGGAAAACACAATATCCGGTAGTAGAACGTCGAGTTACTGGACACCCTGCCCAATCAGCATCACAAAAGGCCTTCAATCTTAACGAACTTTGTGAGGAAAACAAAATACCTTGGCCTGGAGTGTTCTTCAAGTATCTCAAAACACGTAAAGCTGCATCATAGTGAGGCTTGCGAGGATGTTGCATGAAACGACTTAACGTGTTTACTGCAAAAGTAATATCAGGCCTGGTAATAGTTAAATATATCAAACGTCCTATCAATCTCCGATAGATGGACGGATCATGAAGTAAATCTCCTTCATCAGGAAGTAGCTTTAGATTTTGTTCCATGGGGAAACTAGCTGAGCGTGCTCCCAAAAAACCAACATCTTTCAAAATGTCCAATAAATATTTTCTTTGAGAAATAAAGATCCCCTTTCTTGAACGAGCAATCTCTATTCCTAAAAAATATTTAAGGGCTCCTAAATCTTTGATGCGGAAGCGTTTATTCAAAAAAGATTTAAGAGAACCAATAGCCGTCATGTCATTACCAGTGATCAAGATGTCATCAACGTAAATAAGGAGAGCTGTGAACGATTTGCCAACTTTTCTTGTAAAAAGGGAATAATCGGCTTTGGACTGTGTATACCCAGCTGCAGAAATGGCTTCAGAAAATTTAAAAAAACCACTGCCGAGAAGCCTGCTTTAATCCATACAAAGACTTGTGAAGGCGACATACTAAATGCTCCCCCTGTCGCTGAAGACCAGGAGGTGGAACCATATATATTTCCTCAAGGAGATCACCATGGAGGAAAGCATTGTGGACATCCATTTGATGGAGAGACCAGCCACTAGCAGCCGCAAGAGCAAGGAGACAACGAAAGGTAACCAACTTGGCAGTCGGGGAAAATGTATCCTGATAATCAACACCCTCAATTTGAGTGTAACCCTTGGCCACTAAACGAGCTTTGTAACGCTCAATAGTGCCATCAGACTTGTGCTTGATTTTGTAGACCCAACGACAACCAATAGGGATCTTGCCAGGAGGAAGAGCAGTTAAAGACCAAGTGGCATTAGCTTCGAGAGCTTGAATCTCCGAGGCCATAGCGTCGCGCCACCGAGGATCTTTAGCAGCCTCTGCATATGTGTTAGGTTCAATAGGAAGAGTAATATTGGCAATAAAACTTTGATAAGATGGAGAAAGATGTTGATAAGAAATATGCTTGCATAAAGGGTGACGAGTACCTTTGGCAGAAGAACCTGGAGTCGATGCTTGGAGGAGGCAAGACAGGTTCAGGAGGTTGGGTTGAAGAAGTGGTGATAAAAGGAAAATGAGACTCATGAAAAATGACATCGCGGCTGGTGAACACTTTGTGAGTAGAAAGGTCGTACAACTTATACGCTTTTTGACCAAAGGGATATCCTATAAAGACACATTTTCTGGCTCGTGCATCAAATTTATGAAGAGGGTGAACATTAGTGGCATAGGCTAAACATCCAAAAATACGTAAGTGTGCGTACGATGGAGGATGACCATAAAGAACCTCAAAAGGGGATTTATTTGACAAAAGTGGTGTGGGTAAGCGATTTATGAGATAGATGGCAGTAAGGACACAATCTCCCCAAAAATACAAAGGTAAGTGACTTTGAAAACATAGTGCCCTAGCTACTTGCAAAATATGACGATGTTTCCGCTCGACTACTCCATTTTGTTGTGGAGTATATATGTGCAAGAACGTTCAAAAATCACACCGCTCTCGGAAAAGAAAGAATGTAGGGACAAAAACTCACTACCATTATCAGTTCGGATTTTCTTAATTTTGTGATGGAATTGAGTTTCTACATAAGAAAAGAAAGTCTTAAGCAACTGTTGTGTTTCAGATTTATTTCGCATCAAAAAGAGCCAAGTGGTGCGAGAAAAATCATCAACAATGGTTAGGAAATATCGAGCCCCATTATATGTAGAAATTTTGTGCGGTCCCCAAATGTCACAATGAACAAGCTCAAAAATGTGTTTACTGGCAATATGACTTAATGGAAAAGGCAATCTAGTTTGTTTTGCCAAAGGGCAAACATCACAAGGTTTATTTAAATGAGAAGAAACATCTAACAATTGCTTAGCTAAAAGGTGGAGTCGTTGTGGAGAGGGATGACCAAGACGACGATGCCATGAAATGGAATTAATGCAACTGGATGACGGTGAAGTGGTGCAGCTATTGTTTGGTTTGGTGAGATAGTAAAGACCGCCACGTTGTCTACCCCATCCAATCATCTTTCTCGTCTCCAGGTCCTGGAAGATACAAAAATCCGGAAAAAAAAGTTATGGAACATCGAAGGGATTTTGTTAAACGACTAACGGATATCAAATTAACCAAAAAGGAGGCAATTCGTAAAAACGTTAGTTAAGGAAAGTTTGGGATCAAAAGTAAAATTGCCAATACTACTAATTGAAACCCTTTCACCAGTCGGAAGTTTTACTGGAGGCAAAGACTTGTTCACAGTAGAGTTCGATAAGGGAAGTGCCGTAACATGATCTGTAGCGCCACTATCAATTATCCACTCTTGTGAATGATGGGGAGACAAACCTGTGACGGCATTGGTCTGTGCTTCAGATGGTAGATTTCCAGCCATCATAGCAAAGAGTTGTTGAAGCTGCTCAGGAGTGAAAGTCATCGGTGTTGCTGAGGTAGATGAAGAAGTGGTAGAAGTTGAAGCTTGAACATGGTTGGTCGCTGGTTTTCCCTCCTTACTGCGGCCCTTTCCCTTGTTCTTTTTATGAAGACGATGGTCCTCGGGATATCCATGGAGTTGGTAGCAAGTCTCCTTAGTGTGGTGAGCTGTGTCACAATAATCGCAATGGAGCGGTTTGCGATTCCCTTGACTGCCACGACTTTGTTGATTGCCGCGACCACCTTGAATGGCCATGGCTGCTCATTCCAGACTTGGTTGTGGGACGGCTGTAATTCCACGTTGCTTCTCCTCTTGATTAACCATGGAAAAAACTTTGAGCACCGAAGGCAATGGCTTTACAAGCAGAATCTGACCTCTCACTGCTGCATATGAATCATCAAGCCCCATTAAAAATTGCATAACCTTATTCTGCTCATCTTTCTCGTTACGGTCGTTCATGGCACCACATGAGCAACTTTTATGGCTGCCATAAGAAGATAACTCATCCCATAAACCCTTCAATTGGGAATAATAGTCAGACACAGACATCTGATTTTGAGTGAGACGTGCAATGTCACATTGAATCTCGAAAATACGTGGGACGTTGTCTTGCGAAAAACGAGTCTTGAGGTCCTCCCAAACATCATGTGCAGTGTCGGCATAAACCACACTGTTGGATAACCCAGAACTCATAGAGTTTAAAATCCACATGAGAACCATGTCATTACAACGCTGCCAAAGAGCAGCTTCAGTTGCGTTCTTGTCGGACGGCTGCTTCACAGACCCATCAACAAAACCAAATTTGTTCTTTGCGCTAAGAGCAATGCGCATTGAACGAGACCATGTGCTATAATTGTTTCCAGTAAGTAGAGTGGAAACAAGATGCATCCCTGGATTATCAGAGGGATGAACATAGAAGGGGCTTGAGGGATCGTTCGACGCCGCAACCGACTTGGAGTCTCCCATAGCCAAAAAAGAACGACTTTTCTTACAAGAAAAATCGAAGGAAAAAACGAGGAGAAACCAAGAAAAAAAACGTCCTAGGATCTTGGACTCTCTGGTACCATCTTGAGAATGGAATGGCAGAAAAGAATTTTCTGTATTAATTCTCAATGAATATACAAGCTGCGCTAGGGTTCTTATACAAACTGCAAGAATACAATCACAACTTCTAACTCCTACAATCAGCTAAGTAAATATTTGTACAAAGGGAAAGAATAAATCACTGATAGTCAATGATTATCATGCTACCAAATAGGAAGGAAACTAATCATATCTCAACAATACAACACACACACAACTGGGTATGTCGACTTCTATGGCCATAGGACACAGTTGATGATATTGATGATATACCCCCAGCTTCATTAGCTCGAGGCTAGTGTCGGTGTGATATGATATATGTATATGTTTCTTCTCCGGCATAACCCAGAGT